ACCCATCCCAAAGTGACCTTAGCTGGACAAGTGTCCCTGTGCCAATGGGGACCCATCCCAAAGTGACCTTGGCTGGACAAGTGTCCCTGTGCCAATGGGGACCCATCCCAAAGTGACCTTGGCTGGACAAGTGTCCCATGCTGATGGGGACCCCACAGAGGCAGTGCCATCAGTGTCACAGGAGGTCCCTCCCTTTCACCCCTGCTGTCCCAGGGACCCCGTGGCACACCCCAGGAGTTGTCCCAGAGCTGGAGGGACCCTCGTGGCCCTCAGGATGCTCAGGGCAGCGTGAGGGAGGCAATGCCAGGAGCTGCTCCTCGCCTCACCTTCCAGGAGCCAGCAGGGAGCTCCTCCCCGGGGCAGGACCTCACTCAGGGCTCCCTTGGCTTCTGCTCTCCACGTTTCAAACCCAAACAGAGGAACAGCCTTGGCCGGGTGTGAATCAGCCCCGGCATTTGTCTGGCCTGAGCCAAACCCAGCTCCAGCATCAACAAAGCAGGACTTTGGAGCCTGGTTTTGTTACACACACGTTTCCTGCTGGCTCGTTTCCCCGAGCTGTCCCGTCCACTGACTTGTGCAGAGCTCCCAGGTGTTTGGAACCGCTTACCCGTTCCTGAGCGTGGTGGGAAGTTCGATTTTTGGGCAAAACAGGAATTTTCAGAGCAGACCCACCCCGGCTCCGAGTCTCAGGACCCTCTTTGCCCCAGAACATTCCTCACCACTGGAATGTTTGAGATGCTTAGCAGATGACCCGCGCGGCTTTTTCCAAATATGCGTTGTGTCTGGCATGGGAAAGGGGGCCAGGGGGAGGCTGAGGCATGGCAGATGCTGGATGGGAGCAGGGCTGGAACACAAACTCTCCCCGTTACTCATCGCAGCAGCACGAGGCCAGCGAGGGACGGCCCAGACGCGTCCAAGAGCAGAGCTGGGTCCAAGAGCCTCCGTGTGGAATGTAAATAGTGTCCCTGCCAGGGGAAAAAGCAGTTTATTGCAGCCCCAGAGGCGGTGAGGTAAACCTCTGGCAGGCAGATCGAGGAATGATCCATACGGGAGTGCCGGGGCTGGGGGAGCTGCTCCAGACCCTGTGGCGAGGGGACAGCAGGGACGGGTGGCACCAAAGGCAGGTCACCTGCAGGGGTGGGTGGCACCAAAGGCAGGTCACCTGCAGGGACGGGTGGCACCAAAGGCAGGTCACCTGCAGGGGTGGATGGCACCAAAGGCAGGTCACCTGCAGGTGTTCCCTGCACCAAAGACAGGTCACCTGCAGGGATGGGTGGCACCAAAGGCAGGTCACCTGCAGGGACGGGCGGCACCAAAGGCAGGTCACCTGCAGGGACGGGCGGCACCAAAGGCAGGTCACCTGCAGGGACGGGCGGCACCAAAGGCAGGTCACCTGCAGGGACGGGCGGCACCAAAGGCAGGTCACCTGCAGGGACGGGCGGCACCAAAGGCAGGTCACCTGCAGGGACGGGCGGCACCAAAGGCAGGTCACCTGCAGGGACGGGCGGCACCAAAGGCAGGTCACCTGCAGGGACGGGCGGCACCAAAGGCAGGTCACCTGCAGGGACGGGCGGCACCAAAGGCAGGTCACCTGCAGGGACGGGCGGCACCAAAGGCAGGTCACCTGCAGGGGTGGGTGCCCCCAGCCAGCCCCGGGTCCAGCTCTGGCAGCAGCCCTGGCCCAGCAGTGTTCTCCTTCTGGGGTGAACGAGGGGAAAAAGCAGCTCAGGTGTTCCCCACCTGCAGGTGTTCCCTGCAGCCCCAGGGCCAAGGCAGGGGCTCCACTGTGACTCAGAGAATCACCCCAGAGTGGCTTGCATGGGAAGGGGTCTCAGAGCCCACCCAGTGCCACCCCTGCCATGGCAGGGACACTGCCACTGCCCCAGGCTGCTCCCAGAAATGCCCAGTCCATGAACCACTGCAAGGGGGACCAAACACCCGGGTTCAGCTCAGCCTGGTGGGAAGGCAGAGCTTTCTGGTCCATCACATTTCCTGGACAGAAATACCCAGTTTGGAATCCCAGCCCTGGCACAGGGTGCCCCTGGATCCCTGGCAGTGCCCAAGGCTGGGCTGGACAACGGGACAGTGAGGTGTCCCATGCCATCCCATGGCAGGGGTGGCACTGGGTGGGCTCTGAGGTCCCTTCCCACCCAAACCAGTCTGGGATTCCATGGAATGCACCTGCCCAGGAGCAGGCTGAGCTCCTGCACCCCTGTCCTGGATGGTCCCTGGCAGGTTTGGGGTGACACCGAGCTGGGAGCGTGGCTGTGCCCCCAGGACCTCACCAGGCTGGAGAAACGCCCTGTGAGACCCTCCTGCAGCTCGGCAAGGACCTGGGAAGGTGCCCAGGTGCCAGGACAGGCTGGGGCCACCCCCACACAGGGCAGGGACAGCCTGGGACAGGGACACTGAGGTGACCCCGCAGCAGTGACGTGTCCCTGGGAGGGTCTGTGCTTCCTGGGCTGGCATTCCTGGCGAGGAGGGGACAGTCCTGCCCCTGTGCCTGGCACCAGCGAGGCCACCCTGGGCCCAGCTGAGCTGCCCAGGACAGCAGGGACAGGGAGGGACCGTGGCAGCCATGGAGGTGACACCTGGAAGGGCTGAGGGCACTGGGATCAAAGCCAAGCCTGTGAATAACTGCTGGGGGACACTCGGGGAAACTGAGGCAGGATCTTCTCTGTGGTGCCTGGGGAGAAGACAGGGACAGGAATAAAGGGGAATTCTCTTTGAAAATAAAAAATACCTTTCTACCCCGAGGCTGGTCAAGCAGGGGTTGACCCCAGAGGCCGTGGATGTCCACCCCTGGGGACCCTCAGGGCTCAGGGAGGGGCTGCTGGGCAGCCTGAGGGGCTGGGGCTGGGTGACCCCTCCCCAGCCATGCTGGGCTTCCTGGGCTTTGGGGTCAGGAGCAGGCTCCTGCCTGCTGGACTGCCAGAGGAGCTGTTGTGCCTGCCCAGGTGTGCAGGCCTGGGGGTGTCCCTGCAGCAGGGGACAGAGCCTGGGGGTGTCTCTGCAGCAGGGGACAGGGCCTGGGGGTGTCCCTGCAGCAGGGGACAGAGCCTGGGGGTGTCCCTGCAGCAGGGGACAGAGCCTGGGGGTGTCCCTGCAGCAGCAGGAGCTGGGGGCAGAGCCTGGGGGTGTCCCTGCAGCAGCAGGAGCTGGGGACAGAGCCTGGGGGTGGCCCTGCAGCAGCAGGAGCTGGGGGCAGAGCCTCTCTGTGTGCTCCCCGTGCTAACCTGCTCTTCCCTCTCTGCAGGCTAGGAGGGGCCGCAGGCTGGACAGCAGCTCAGGTAAGGATGGACACGTGTCCCACTCCTGGCACCCCCTGGGGCTCCTGGCACCTCCTGCTCTTCTCCTGTTTCTGCACCAGGAAGGTCCCACCTGCCCACCCCTCCACAGTGCTCAAAAGGAAGTTTTCCACAGAATTATGGAATGGTTTGGGTGGGAAGGGACCTCAAATCCCACCCAGTGCCAGCCCTGCCATGGCAGGGACACTGCCACTGTGCCAGGGTGTCCCAGTGTCCATCCCAGCCTTGGGCACTGCCAGGGATCCAGGGGCAGCCCCAGCTGTGCCAGGGCCTGCCCACCCTGCCAGGGAACAATTCCCAATTCCCAATCTCCCATCCAGCCCTGCCCTCTGGCAGTGGGAGCCATTCCCTGGCTCCTGTCCCTCCATCCCTTGTCCCCAGTCCCTCTGCAGCTCTCCTGGAGCCCCTCCAGGCCCTGCCAGGGGCTCTGAGCTCTCCCAGGGTGAGAAAACACCATCACCTGCAGCTCTGCCAGCCTCACCTCCCATTTTATTGTCCCTTGTGCAAGGAGGGGCCTCAGCCAGGAAACAGGAGCCCGTGCTGATGGACGCTGTGCAGACAAACCAAAAATGCATTGTGTGCCCCCCAGAAAGCCGGGCTCTGAGCTGAGGAGCAGGCACAGCAGACGGGCACAGCAAGAGGTGCAGAGAGAGCAGCAGGGGCAGGGCTGGAGCCCGAGCTCTCCGGGGATATCCTTATCTCCCCACCTGAAAAGCTGCGAGGAGCAGGCTCGGGTTTCCTTCTCTGGAAGTTTGCCAGGATGCCCATCACTCCCGGCGGGCAGCAGGCAGCAAATCCTGCCTGGGATGGGGACAGCAGGGACCTTCCTCTGGCACCTCTGCCCTCTCCCTTCCCCCTTTCCCTGGTGCCCAAGGTGGTCACGGGCCAGGAGAATCGGTGCTGGATCCAAAGCAGGATTTTGGGGGATAAGCCCAGCTCCAGCTCCCACCAAACCCTCTGCAAAGTGAGAACGGGGATTTGCCCTTCCCACCTCCCAGCAGCGCAAGGAGAGAGCCCCCGAGGGGCTCGGGAGCCTTTCTGGCAGTTTTTGCATTAGAAATTCAAGTCCTGCCTGATCTGGGAAACAATCTGGTAACCGAAGAAGGAGTGAAATTGCAGCGCTGGAGGGGGAGGCAGCACGGGCAGCCGGTGGTGTTCCTCACACCTGGAAGGCCTGGGGGACAGGGACGGGTGTGACCTGCCACCCCCAGGGCTGGAGGGGACAGGAGGAGCCCCAGAGCCCCCCAGAGCCCCCCCAGAGCACATGAGAGAGTGAGAATGAATGAGAGAGCACGGAGAAACGAGGGAGAGGAACCAGGCAGGCTCCTGGATCCTACGACCTGCCACCCCCAGGGCTGGAGGGGACAGGAGGAGCCCCAGAGCCCCCCAGAGCCCCCCCAGAGCACATGAGAGAGTGAGAATGAATGAGAGAGCATGGAGAAACGAGGGAGAGGAACCAGAGAAAGGACGGGAAAAGACAAAATGGGAGCCAAAATAAGCCTTGACACTGTGGTGGCTCTTCCACCACGGAGAACTTCCCCATGGAAAGGTGCCCAGGGAGCTCTGGAGTGCCCATCCCTGGAGGTGGCACTCAGGGGACAAGGTGAGCATTGCACTTGGTGACCCCAGAGTCTTTCCTGAGCTCAGGGTTCCGAGTTCCTCGAGTTCCTGCCAGTCCTGTGTGGTGCCAGGAGCAGGGGAGGGGGTGTGCAGCCCATGGCCCCAGCTGTCCCCAGGCTCACAGTGTCACCCTGGGGCCCTGCCCTGGCCTCAGGAGCTGGAGTCTGCTGTCCCCTGGTGCGAGGGGACAGCTCCGGGCTCAGCTGGGCACTGCACTGGGTGCCACACTGGGCTGGGGCCAGGGGTGGCCCCAGGGTCACAGCCCCAGCCAGGGGGCTGAGGGGTCACGGAGCCATCGAGGCTGGAAAAGCTTCTGGGACACCGAGCCCAGGCAGGATCTCTGTGGGATCACTGTGGGATCACTGTGGGGTCTCTGTGGGATTTATATGGGATTTCTGTGGGATCTCTGCAGGGTCTCTGCGGGGTCCCTGCAGGGTCTCCATGGGGTCTCTATGGGATCTCTATGGGATCTCTGCGGGGTCCCTGCAGGGTCTCTATGGGATTTCTATGGGATCTCTGTGGGATCTCTGCGGGGTCCCTGCAAGGTCTCTATGGGATCTCTGTGGGGTCTCTGCAGGATTTCTGCAGGGTCTCTATGGGACCTCTATGGGATCTCTGCAGGGTCTCTGTGGAATTTCTATGGGATCTCTGCAGGGTCTCTGTGGGATCTCTGCAGGGTCCCTGGGGGCTCCATTCCCTTCCCAGCTCCCTCAGCCTCTCCTGGGGCTCCATTCCCTTCCCAGCTCCCTCAGCCTCTCCTGGGGCTCCATTCCCTTCCCAGCTCCCTCAGCCTCTCCTGGGGCTCCATTCCCTTCCCAGCTCCCTCAGCCTCTCCTGGGGCTCCATTCCCTTCCCAGCTCCCTCAGCCTCTCCTGGGGCTCCATTCCCTTCCCAGCTCCCTCAGCCTCTCCTGGGGCTCCATTCCCTTCCCAGCTCCCTCAGCCTCTCCTGGGGCTCCATTCCCTTCCCAGCTCCCTCAGCCTCTCCTGGGGCTCCATTCCCTTCCCAGCTCCCTCAGCCTCTCCTGGGGCTCCATTCCCTTCCCAGCTCCCTCAGCCTCTCCTGGGGCTCCATTCCCTTCCCAGCTCCCTCAGCCTCTCCTGGGGCTCCATTCCCTTCCCAGCTCCCTCAGCCTCTCCTGGGGCTCCATTCCCTTCCCAGCTCCCTCAGCCTCTCCTGGGGCTCCATTCCCTTCCCAGCTCCCTCAGCCTCTCCTGGGGCTCCATTCCCTTCCCAGCTCCCTCAGCCTCTCCTGGGGCTCCATTCCCTTCCCAGCTCCCTCAGCCTCTCCTGGGGCTCCATTCCCTTCCCAGCTCCCTCAGCCTCTCCTGGGGCTCCATTCCCTTCCCAGCTCCCTCAGCCTCTCCTGGGGCTCCATTCCCTTCCCAGCTCCCTCAGCCTCTCCTGGGGCTCCATTCCCTTCCCAGCTCCCTCAGCCTCTCCTGGGGCTCCATTCCCTTCCCAGCTCCCTCAGCCTCTCCTGGGGCTCCATTCCCTTCCCAGCTCCCTCAGCCTCTCCTGGGGCTCCATTCCCTTCCCAGCTCCCTCAGCCTCTCCTGGGGCTCCATTCCCTTCCCAGCTCCCTCAGCCTCTCCTGGGGCTCCATTCCCTTCCCAGCTCCCTCAGCCTCTCCTGGGGCTCCATTCCCTTCCCAGCTCCCTCAGCCTCTCCTGGGGCTCCATTCCCTTCCCAGCTCCCTCAGCCTCTCCTGGGGCTCCATTCCCTTCCCAGCTCCCTCAGCCTCTCCTGGGGCTCCATTCCCTTCCCAGCTCCCTCAGCCTCTCCTGGGGCTCCATTCCCTTCCCAGCTCCCTCAGCCTCTCCTGGGGCTCCATTCCCTTCCCAGCTCCCTCAGCCTCTCCTGGGGCTCCATTCCCTTCCCAGCTCCCTCAGCCTCTCCTGGGGCTCCATTCCCTTCCCAGCTCCCTCAGCCTCTCCTGGGGCTCCATTCCCTTCCCAGCTCCCTCAGCCTCTCCTGGGGCTCCATTCCCTTCCCAGCTCCCTCAGCCTCTCCTGGGGCTCCATTCCCTTCCCAGCTCCCTCAGCCTCTCCTGGGGCTCCATTCCCTTCCCAGCTCCCTCAGCCTCTCCTGGGGCTCCATTCCCTTCCCAGCTCCCTCAGCCTCTCCTGGGGCTCCATTCCCTTCCCAGCTCCCTCAGCCTCTCCTGGGGCTCCATTCCCTTCCCAGCTCCCTCAGCCTCTCCTGGGGCTCCATTCCCTTCCCAGCTCCCTCAGCCTCTCCTGGGGCTCCATTCCCTTCCCAGCTCCCTCAGCCTCTCCTGGGGCTCCATTCCCTTCCCAGCTCCCTCAGCCTCTCCTGGGGCTCCATTCCCTTCCCAGCTCCCTCAGCCTCTCCTGGGGCTCCATTCCCTTCCCAGCTCCCTCAGCCTCTCCTGGGGCTCCATTCCCTTCCCAGCTCCCTCAGCCTCTCCTGGGGCTCCATTCCCTTCCCAGCTCCCTCAGCCTCTCCTGGGGCTCCATTCCCTTCCCAGCTCCCTCAGCCCCTCCTGGGGCTCCATTCCCTTCCCAGCTCCATTCCCTTCCCAGCTCCCAGCACTGCTGGCTCCATGGCCAGGCAGGATCTCTGTGGGATCACTGTGGGATCACTGTGGGGTCTCTGTGGGATTTATATGGGATTTCTGTGGGATCTCTGCAGGGTCTCTGCGGGGTCCCTGCAGGGTCTCTATGGGATTTCTATGGGATCTCTGTGGGATCTCTGCGGGGTCCCTGCAAGGTCTCTATGGGATCTCTGTGGGGTCTCTGCAGGATTTCTGCAGGGTCTCTATGGGACCTCTATGGGATCTCTGCAGGGTCTCTGTGGAATTTCTATGGGATCTCTGCAGGGTCTCTGTGGGATCTCTGCAGGGTCCCTGCGGGGTCTCTATGGGATCCCTGCGGGGTCTCTGTGGAATTTCTATGGGATCTTTGCAGGGTCTCTGTGGGATCGCTGCAGGGTCTCTATGGGATCTCTATGGGATCTCTGCAGGGTCTCTGTGGAATTTCTATGGGATCTCTGCAGGGTCTCTGCAGGATTTCTGCAGGATCTCTATGGGATCTCTGCGGGGTCCCTGCGGGGTCCCTGCGGGGTCCCTGCAGACCCTGACGGGTTCCCGCTGCCGCAGGCTCGCAGGTTGCTCTTGCGATCGAGGGACGTGTCCCGCTCGGAAGAGGCAGTTCCAGCCCATCCATCACCATCGTGCAACCGTGACCGCTCTCCACCGCCTGCCGCCGCCACAGCTGCCCCGGAGCAGCACCGGGAGCTGTCCCGAGGACTCTCGGCGGGCGCTGCCCCTCCGGCCATTGCATGTCCCCCCGGTGTGCTTCCCGCGGCCACCAGCCCCGTCCCACCCGCCTCAGCCGCTCACGGCAGGCTTCAAACACAAAAAAAAACCACCTGGAAGGACTCTGCTGATGGCTGTTCCTGCTCTGTGTGCTGCTCCATGCCAGGGTCCCCCAGCAGTGCCACTGTCACGCTGGTCACTGCTCCTGTCCCTCCCCGTGCACGGAACAAAGGGGTGCAGCCCTGCATGGCACCAAGGGGACTCAGCCCTCCAAACCCACCTGTGTGAGGTCCTTACAGCCTTCCCAAACCCGCCTGTGTGAGGCCTTTAGAGCCCTTACAGCATTCCCAACCCACCTGTGTGAGGGCTTTAGAGCCCTTCCAAACCCACCTGGGTGAGGTCATTACAGCCTTCCCAATCCCACCTGTGTGAGGCCTTGACAGCCTTCCCAAACCCGCCTGTGTGAGGCCTTTAGAGCCCTTACAGCATTCCCAACCCACCTGTGTGAGGGCTTTAGAGCCCTTCCAAACCCACCTGGGTGAGGTCATTACAGCCTTCCCAATCCCACCTGTGTGAGGCCTTGACAGCCTTCCCAAACCCGCCTGTGTGAGGCCTTTAGAGCCCTTACAGCATTCCCAACCCACCTGTGTGAGGGCTTTAGAGCCCTTCCAAACCCACCTGGGTGAGGTCATTACAGCCTTCCCAATCCCACCTGTGTGAGGCCTTGACAGCCTTCCCAAACCCGCCTGTGTGAGGCCTTTAGAGCCCTTACAGCATTCCCAACCCACCTGTGTGAGGGCTTTAGAGCCCTTCCAAACCCACCTGGGTGAGGTCATTACAGCCTTCCCAATCCCACCTGTGTGAGGCCTTGACAGCCTTCCCAAACCCGCCTGTGTGAGGCCTTTAGAGCCCTTACAGCATTCCCAACCCACCTGTGTGAGGGCTTTAGAGCCCTTCCAAACCCACCTGGGTGAGGTCATTACAGCCTTCCCAATCCCACCTGTGTGAGGCCTTGACAGCCTTCCCAAACCCGCCTGTGTGAGGCCTTTAGAGCCCTTACAGCATTCCCAACCCACCTGTGTGAGGGCTTTAGAGCCCTTCCAAACCCACCTGGGTGAGGTCATTACAGCCTTCCCAATCCCACCTGTGTGAGGCCTTGACAGCCTTCCCAAACCCGCCTGTGTGAGGCCTTTAGAGCCCTTACAGCATTCCCAACCCACCTGTGTGAGGGCTTTAGAGCCCTTCCAAACCCACCTGGGTGAGGTCATTACAGCCTTCCCAATCCCACCTGTGTGAGGCCTTGACAGCCTTCCCAAACCCGCCTGTGTGAGGCCTTTAGAGCCCTTACAGCATTCCCAACCCACCTGTGTGAGGGCTTTAGAGCCCTTCCAAACCCACCTGGGTGAGGTCATTACAGCCTTCCCAATCCCACCTGTGTGAGGCCTTGACAGCCTTCCCAAACCCGCCTGTGTGAGGCCTTTAGAGCCCTTACAGCATTCCCAACCCACCTGTGTGAGGGCTTTAGAGCCCTTCCAAACCCACCTGGGTGAGGTCATTACAGCCTTCCCAATCCCACCTGTGTGAGGCCTTGACAGCCTTCCCAAACCCGCCTGTGTGAGGCCTTTAGAGCCCTTACAGCATTCCCAACCCACCTGTGTGAGGGCTTTAGAGCCCTTCCAAACCCACCTGGGTGAGGTCATTACAGCCTTCCCAATCCCACCTGTGTGAGGCCTTTAGAGCCCTTACAGCATTCCAAACCCACCTGTGTGAGGTCTTCACAGCCCTTCCAAACCCACCTGTGTGAGGTCCTTACAGCCTTCCCAAACCCACCTGTGTGAGGTCATTACAGCCCTTTCAGCCTTCCAAACCCACCTGTGTGAGGCCCTTACAGCCTTCCCAAACCCACCTGTGTGAGGTCATTACAGCCCTTTCAGCCTTCCAAACCCACCTGTGTGAGGTCCTTACAGCCTTCCCAAACCCACCTGTGTGAGGTCATTACAGCCCTTTCAGCCTTCCAAACCCACCTGTGGTGAGATCCTTACAGCCCTTCCAAACCCACCTGTGTGAGGTCCTTACAGCCCTTCCAAACCCACCTGTGTGAGGTCCTTACAGCCCTTTCAGCCTTCCCAAGCCCACCTGGAGCCAGGTGTGAGCCAGGTCCTCCCGGGGCTGGTGGGATGCAGGGCTGGGGGCTGTGGTGGGCCAGCAGCCTCTGGTGCTCCCGTCCCAAGCAGGGATGGAGGGGGGAGCACGGCCAGGCTGTGAGGAGCACCAGCAGCAGGATCTGGGCTCAGTTCTGGTGGAATTCAGGGAGATAAGGGAGCAGGGACGGCAGCTCCCTCTGAGCCATTCCCGTGCTGCCTGGGGACGTTGTTTTAGTGGAAGGAGCCCAGGGCCCTGATGCACCTGTGGATATGTACAGAGGGTGATGGATGAGGGGAGCAGAGCCCCCCGAGCACCCCCGGCTCTGCCCCCTCCCCGCAGCGGGGACAGGGACAGGGACAACCCCGAGGCCACAGCCCGGCTTGGTGGAAATGTTGGGAACGAGCTGCGAGCAGGGCAGGGCAGCCTGGAGAACCTGGAGGGAAGAGCAGCTTCAGCTGGCACAGGGGGACAGGGATGGGGACAGGGATGGGGATGGGAACAGGGACAGAAATGGGGACGAGGGTAAGAACAGGGATGGGGACAAGGACAGGGATGGGGACAAGGACAGGGATGAGAATGAGGATAAGGGCAGGAATGGGGAGAGGAATGGGAATGGGGACAAGGACAGGGATGGGGACAAGGACAGGGATGAGAATAGGGATAAGGGCAGGAATGGGGAGAGGAATGGGAATGGGGATAAGCACAGGGATGGGGACAAGGACAGAATGGGGATGGGAATGGGAATGGGGACAGGGACAAGGACAGGGATGGGAATAAGAACAGGGATGGGGACAGGGATGGGGACAAGGAGAGAGATGGGGATGGGAGCGAGGACAAGGATGGGGAAGGGATGGGAATGGGGATAAGGAGAGGGATGGGAATGAGGACAGAGTTGGGGAGAGGGATGGGAGATGGAGATGGGAATAACGACAGGAGTGGGGATAAGGACAGGGATGGGGAGAGAGATGGGAGATGGAGACAGGAATGGGGATGGAGATGGGGACGAGGATGGAGAGATGGGGACCAAGACAGAGGCAGGGAGCACTTCAGGTGGGTCTCCAGCTGAATTTGCTGCATTTGGGCATGCAGCACCTTTGGCTGTGCCACGGCCCAAGCACAGAAAATGGGAATGTTTTCCCGATGGCCCGGCTGGAGTGGGGACAGCCGCCAGGAGCTGGGGGTGTCAAGGCTGCACAGGGGTCGGGGTCTGTCCCCCAAGCAGAGCTGAGAGGGGCTGGGGGGTCTCCCAGCAGCTGCTGTAGGCAAGAGGCTGGGGGTGCCCACCCGGGCCCTGCTGGTGGCACTGCCAGGGCAGGGACAGTGGCACAGCAGGGCTGGCACACCCGGCTTGGTGGGAAAGCCTGGTGGGATCCATGGCTTGGAGGGGATGGGAAGGAAGCTGCAGGGCCTCCCCAGCACCCCTGACACCCGGGAGACCGGGACTGGGGTGCCCAGGGCCCTGTTGTCACCCAAAGGTGTCACTTAGGGAGGTAATTAACCCCTTTTTAATTGCCCCCTGGGCTGAACACAGGCTGGGGCAGAGCTCACCCTCCGGGATGAGGATTGCCATTTGCAGTTCCCCCGGGCAAAACCAACCCGAAGGAAAATGCACCTGGAAGTGTTTACCCACGGGCAGTCCTGGGGCAGAGCTGGGTCCTGAGCTGGCATCCCCGGGTTACTGCCAGGACAGGGACATCACCATTGCCACGGGGACAGGGACGGGTTAATGCCGGGACAGGGACATCACCATTGCCACGGGGAGAGGAACGGGTTAATGCCGGGACAGGGACATCACCATTGCCACGGGGACAGGAACGGGTTAATGCCAGGACAGGGACATCACCATTGCCACGGGGACAGGGACGGGTTAATGCCAGGACAGGGACATCCCAATTGACACGGGAATGGGAATGGGTTAATGCCAGGACAGGGACATCCCAGTTGCCACGGGAACGGGGACGGGGACAGGAGCCACACGGGGTCCCACACGGCTGCTCTGTGGGTGACACACACACAAGGACAGGGCTGCTCCTGCCACTCCTGGCTCCCCAAGCCCTGGCAGTGCCCACACAGCCGGGGTGTCCCTGGGGGTCACACCAAGCCCCGGTGCCATTCCCTATTCCTGCAGGCACAGGGATTGCAGGACTGTCCCTGGGAGCAGGACTGTCCCCGCCCCGGTGCCATTCCCTATTCCTGCAGGCACAGGGATTGCAGGATTGTCCCTGGAGCAGGATTATCCCCAGAGCAGGACTGTCCCTGGAGCAGGACTGTCCGTGAGATCAGGACTGTCCCCGGGAGGGATCAGGACTGTCCCCGAGATCAGGACTGTCCCCGAGATCAGGATTGTCCCCGGGAAGGAGCAGGACTGTCCCTGAGATCAGGACTGTCCCCAGGAGCAGGACTGTCCCCGAGATCAGGACTGTCCCCAGGAGCAGGACTGTCCCCGAGATCAGGACTGGCCCCGGGATCAGGACTGGCCCCGAGATCAGGACTGTCCCCAGGAGCAGGACTGTCCCCGAGATCAGGACTGGCCCCGGGATCAGGACTGGCCCCGAGATCAGGACTGTCCCCAGGAGCAGGACTGTCCCCGAGATCAGGACTGGCCCCGGGATCAGGACTGGCCCCGAGATCAGGACTGTCCCCAGGAGCAGGACTGTCCCCGAGATCAGGACTGGCCCCGGGATCAGGACTGGCCCCGAGATCAGGACTGTCCCCAGGAGCAGGACTGTCCCCGAGATCAGGACTGGCCCCGGGATCAGGACTGGCCCCGAGATCAGGACTGTCCCCAGGAGCAGGACTGTCCCCGAGATCAGGACTGGCCCCGGGATCAGGACTGGCCCCGAGATCAGGACTGTCCCCAGGAGCAGGACTGTCCCCGAGATCAGGACTGGCCCCGGGATCAGGACTGGCCCCGAGATCAGGACTGTCCCCAGGAGCAGGACTGTCCCCGAGATCAGGACTGGCCCCGGGAT